AAAGTTACACCGGTGTCGTTTGAACCCTCCTATATATATATATATATATATATATTTTGCAAGTAGAAATTGTAATAGGATGAAACAAACATTGTTATAGCTCTCCTTCATATGTTTTTTTGTTGAATGAAAGTTTGTCTTATATTTGATATATACCCTTAGGGGCATTCAGGAAGTAGATATCATGAATTTTATAAATATCTATTAATATTATTGAAATATTAAATTTTAAAATAAAAATTAAATAACATACTTATATTATTTTTTTATATAAAAAACAGTAAAATAAAGGACAAAAAAGAAAGAATTATTAAAAAAAATCTCTTTATATATAATTAAGAATATTCAAATCATTTTAATAAGCAGATAAAATAACTATTTAATTTATTTAAATGTACATATTAAACTATTTAATTCCAATTTAGAATGGGTACATATATGGTTTTTCCTTGTCCCTTGTGACTAATTATTAACCTTTATCTCATGTTTATTTTCTTATATTATGGCGATTTGGAAGTTTTGCTCCGGCACAATTTACGTAAAAGATATTCATTACATAATTATAAACACTCACCACCTAACCTAATAATAGTTCTTCCGATGTTGTGCACATGTTGATCTTTTCAGGTGTAACTCGACTATAACTTATATCTTTCTTTCTTCTTTTGCTTTGTTATCTTCCAATTGCCAAAAAAAAAAAAAAAACAGTGATTTTCTGGTAAAAAGGATCATAAGATTTTCTACCAATTTTTTAAAATTAAAAAAAAATAATCGAATAGGCAAACTATTAAAGGTTTATAATTTAATGATTTAACTATAGTTAGCAATAATTACATATTCAATAATAATTATATAATTTATGTGTGCATTTTATATGTGAATATTTTTTTCTTAGTTTTAAAAATGTTTTGGAATTATTATAATTTAAATATAAAAGAAAAATGTAACATTTTTTTTAAAATGAATTACTGGTTCAATAGCTCTAATTCTTATCCACTTTTGATTAATTTTGTCAATTCTTAATTAGGTTTTTGTTGCACCAATATTTTTAGGCTGTTCAAATTGATGACCAAACTTCTTTCCGATTCTACCACTGAAACTAACCTTTTGATATTATTCCTGTTGAGAACATTCCTCCTGTTTTTCCTACTAACTAGTCTTCTAAGTCTTGAGTGCTGGCCGAGTCCTGTCTTCGAGTGGTGGAGAGGGTACCTACAAAGGCACTCCGACGCTCAACTAAGTATTTGATATATAACAATAAAGACTATTGTATTTAACAATCATACCTATCTCATCAGTCCCATCAATGTCATATTTATAGTGACGTTTTGGAGCCTGATAAGCTTTTTGAGTTATTGGGCTGGTATACAAGATTTGGTACACTAATTACAGCCAACGTGGATATATTTGATATAATTAATGTTTATTTTACCTTAGCTCACGGGTATTCGTCATGGCCGAGTACTCATTCGCCATGTTTAATGGTCGGGGGTATTCGGCATTTGGCCGATAAGGTATTCGGCGTGTTCGTTGCTTGATGGGGTATTCGGTCTTCCAAGTTCTTGGCTGCCTTTATTGCTAAGGGTGAGTTCCGTGTCTTTCGATCTGGTCTCGTCCCTGACCAAAGGGATTGTCCAGTTGTTTTGGGAGCCAAAGGGGGATTTCGGAAGCGAGGAGGGCCGAAGGGATGTTCGGTTCTTGCCGAGACCGAAGGAGTATTTGGCATAACCAGTACAGATATGATTTTTAAAACTATGGTTTCTCATAGCATTAATTTTGGTGTTTATTTGTTGTATAAGTACTTTAAATGCAAATTGAGTGACTCACGAACAAATGCCTCTACCAAATAGGGTTTTTCAATTTTTTTTTTAAATGTAGAGAATTAGGTAACAATATTTTATTCATCTTATCCTATCCATTATACAAGTACATGTTTCACGGTTAATAAATTAAATATGTGGTATTTTTTTGACGAATATTCTTAATTTTTTTTTCATAGATGCATGAAAGATATATTTGAAGTATATTTCATAAAAAAAAATTAATGTAATTTATTCGGTACCTTTTTGTTTTTTGAGCTTCTAAATTCAATGCTTCATTTGTTCTTGTTAAGTTGAATACCGGGAGGCTAGGGAAAATGATACTTCTTTTCGGTGTCTCAGTCCAAAATCTTTACTAGTATCTATAGAAATCAACACCCCCAAAGTTCATAATTGATAAATTGTTGGTGTTACTAATGCTATGTTTGGTTCCAAAATGAAAGTAGAAAGAAAAGAAAATTAGAAAGGAAGGAAAAGAAAGTGTATAGCAAAGTCTTCACAAATGAGTCAATAGAAATTTACATTTTGTTGCATTAAAATTTTTAGACAAAATACACTTTTGGTGATTCATCTTCATTTTTTTTTTAAGTTTGTTTCATAAGTTTAAAATGTTTCACTTTATTCTTGTACAGTATGTCAGTTAGATCAAATTAATTATTCTGTCAATTTATTACAATAACTTGATTAACTTAATTAGTGATACCTGAGAAAAATTAACATTTGCCAAATCATTTAGAATTAACATTTTTACAACAAAAAGAGGTGTAAATATAGTTTAACAAACGAATTTAAGATTTGAAAGCAAAATTTTTTCAAAATGTGATTAAACCAAAATAGAGAGTAATTTCTAAGTTAATTATTAAAAGGCCTCTAATAAAAGACTCAAGATTGCAATTAAAATGTACTCAACTTTCTTGACTCCATCATGCTATTTCTTAAAGTTGTTAAAATGGGTTGGTCCGACCTTTTTTACTTCGGTCCATTTCAATATACTTTTTAATTGAGTTGACTGACTCAACCTATCAATCACAATGTCTAAAATTTTTTAATCTGGTCTGACCCATCACGAGTTGATGAACTAAATGAGTTGGGCTACCAATCCACCTTATTTTAAAAAAAATTAATTTAAAATAAACTTCAATATAAAATAATTTCTAATTTAAAGTAAAAATTGTTAAAATAAGTATCATGCATATAACATTAAACTTAAACTAAAAAATGTACAACTTTAAATAATCAAAACAAAAAAATAAAAATCCTTTCATAAAAGTGATTATTCATCAATATTAAACTTTATTGGAGGCTTGAGTAGATAAATTTATAGTAATTTCATGTTGTTTAACATCAACTTTATCTTTATCTACAAAAAATGGTATCTTATTAAAATAATATATATATATATATATATATATAATAATAAATGGATTAAGTGGGTTGTTAGTGGGTAGGGTTGATAGGAGTATAAGTGAGTTAGATGGGTAGTCCAGTCCACCACAGGTTCAACTTGAGTAAATCAAGTTATATTTTTGACCTATTATGAAAATGTTCATTTTTTTGCTTGACCCATTTTCAAAGTGGGTTGAATTAGCCCACTGGCCGGAATTTATTTTGACAATTCTAATATTTTTCTTATTGCAATTTTTTTCTATAATATTTTTCTTCTTCTCCTTCTTTTTTATTTTTTTTTATACTTGCCAAATCCGAAGCTCGGATTAGGCATATGAAATGCTTGAATCTCAATTTTTAGGCACAGAACTTTTGGGCCTAGCTATAGAGCCTTCCAATTCCAGCTCAGGGTTTACATAACTGCATAAGCCATTTTCTTGATTTCATTCTTCTCAACTATTCATCCATTATGTTAAACTTATTTTATTTTTAATATAAGAGCATGTACTTAGTTATAGATCATTCAGTGTTTTCATTCCTAGATTGTCCAGCAGTCAATGCTCCTAACATGCATGTCTTAGTACACAAACATGAAATTAAAACAAACACAGTATATAAAATGTCACTAAATGCTATTAAAATATCAGTTTAAGTTGAATCAAATCAGCTTGATTGGCATGACAATCATGTCCAAATCATGATCACAAAATTTAAGAGAGAATACAGTAAGCTCTGACACTTCAAAATTATCTTGCTTAATATAAGGTGGCTGGTTTACCAGACAAAAGCCACAACTTTAGCTGCCAAATACTATTAATAATATAGAAATCACGTTCCCTAACTTTGTAAAAGAAAGTGGGAGCAAAACAATGCAATAAGAAATTACCAAGACCAAGAGTGTGTCATGTGCTTCACTTTGAGTGTCACTGTCACTGAAACTTAGATCTTTTTAAAACTTGTGCACAAGTGCATTGATTCTTCCCTCACATGAACCAGATATGTGCAAACCCCTTAACTTTCCGTCACATGTAAGAACCCTCTAAGAACAATGAAGAATGGATTATATTATTATTTAGCCACCATGGTTTGCGTGACCACATGGATGTCACAATTTTCAAGTGCCAAACCAAATCAACAAATTACACAACACATGCTAATGAAGGGTGTTATAGTTATTCAATGTACCTTATTATTCTAACTTCCATTTAGTTAATCTTTGACCCTCTATTTTCAATTTTCATACTCTATTATTGGTCTCTTTCTATTGTTACACAGAGAAGAGGTGAGAAGGCAAAAGATGAAGGACTCAGTGGTTGAGTTTCCTGGTTTTCAGATTTACACTCATAAAGATGAGTTTGTGTTGAGAAGGTCCATGAGTAGGCTACAAAAGAGAGCACCATGTCCACTTCAGATAAAGCCTAATGTGATAATGTCCTCTTCTTGCAGTGGAGCACAGAATTCAATGGAGAATGCTTCAACTTCAACTTCATCTTCATTAAATTCCTTCTTCACTAATAAAGATCCCATTCCTCTACTCTCTCCTCTTGTGGTGCTTGAATCCACCTCCATCAGAGAAGAAAACACTGCAAAATCACATTGATGTGTTGTTATATTTGTATGTTCTATAGTTTTCTTGATTCAGTTCTTTGATCTTATTATAATAACTTCTGTACCACAAGTCCTATAATGTAAATTAAATCGACTATATTATATGTGGGGTAATTGCTATTGAAATTATGCAGTGCTTGATGTTTCCAGACCCACTGCTTTTTGCAAATTAATCAAGTCAAATTCATAATATTGCATTTATCAATTCCTAATTTTGTGAATGTAACTGTAATGAAATCATGGTTGTTAAACATTGTTAAACCGGAACTAGTGTTTTGTCTTGTATTTACTTGTCAGTGTTTTTTTTAAAGAAAATTATTTTCATTTACTTATTATTTTCAAATTTTAAGACAATATTAATTATTGTGTTATCAATTATAACCTTATATTTTACTTGATTTTCAATTAATTTACAAGTGACAACTTATATAGATTTATTATAAATTAAAGTAAAAATTAAAGGAGTATAATAAGAAACATAAAAATTATTCTATAAAATAATAAAAAAATTTATGACACGTATTGATTTGTGGAAAACAAAATGAGTATTATAAAGGTATAGAGATAATATTTGATTTGGTTTAATTGGTTATTCATCCATAAGACTACAAAAAAGAAATTGTAACAAATAAGCTTTGGATGCCTTTTTCTTCATAAACATGTTACCTTTATGCGAATTATAGCCATTTGATCTTGTCGACGAGTGAAAGCTGAGTCATTATTCCATTGTTTCTATTATTTCCCATAGTTACCTGAATTTAATCTTGTTACAGGTGCAATGTCACCAAAAGAATAGAAACTAAAGATTCAGTGCTATTTTAATTTAATTGAGCATATATTATTTATTCTATATGGTCTTTTTATTTACAACGAAAACAAATAATGGAAATGAGACTAAGTTGAAGTGATGCATTAGAAGTTATGACCTAATAGTTCCACTACTTTTGTTCCTTTGTTTTTTCTGATCAAAAACAAAAACCGTTTCTCAAAAATAATGAGTGATGGTGTTGAGTGATTAGGGCCCATTTGCTTTGCGAGGTTGATTCGAATAGGCCTTATGCCTATATTAATTTGGGCCTGCAAATTTAAAGCCTCCCACTAGTTAATGTTATTTTAAAGGTTTAAATATGTTTTTAGTCTCTTAAATTTAAGGTAAATTTATTTTTAATTTTTCAAATTTAAAACTATTATTTTTAATTCTTGTAATTTTAAAAATTTTGTTTTAGTTTCTCAAATCACCAATAACATTTTTGAAAGTGACTAATTAAAATGGTTATACAATATCAACCGGATATAATGCGATGTTTTCACTAACAAGAAAATCAATAAATAAATTTTATGCAATAATGTTTGATACATTTTTTAATAAAATTTGAATATAAACACTATAATAAGATTTTTTTTGAAATTATAGGGACTAAATACAATAATTTTAAATTTGAGAGACCAAAAATAAATTTAACCTAAATTTGAGGGAGTAAAAATGTATTTAAGTATATTTTAAATTTGATTTGAGCAATCACTAAGAATAGAAGGTAAATTAGATTTTTTACACTTTCCTCTCATCTTATACATTAGTCTGAGTAGTACTAAATTTGATCTCTTAAAATAAAATATTAGGTTTGAATCTTCTGTATGTTAAAAAAATGTGATTAAAAAAGAAAATCCTATTAAAAATAATCAATTAGATTCTCCAATAGATATTAGTCAACAAAATTAGTGAATAATTTGTATTAATAATATAATTTAAAAAATAATATAGATAACTTCCTTTCAAAGATGAACATGCATAACATTTAAGCTTATTTTAATGTAATTGTGTTTGTGTTTTTTTCTTCTTCTTACGATTCTTGATATGTAATAGCTAGTTTTGAATATCACCTATCAATTTTGTAACTTTAGAAGATCAAATAGAGTTTAGATAAATTTCAAAGTCAATAATTGGAATATTTAAAACTTCATTCTACCCTTAAAAATATAAAACAAAAATAAGATATTCAAAATTAGTTGTTAGTGATATTGAAAGTTGCAGAAAAACAAAATATTATTAGGATATATATTTATTACTCACCGGTATCCAAAAGGTTTATTTACATTAAAAAAAGACAGTAAAAATCATTCATATATACTGAAAATAAATTGTATAAATTTTGTAAGTGTATCACATCTCTTAACTTAATATTTTATCTTTTAATTTCAAGAACTGTATGTAAAGGCTTTTGGGGTGTCTATTTAATTTTATATTTATTATTTGTTTTATTTTAAAGTTTTTTAGAGAAAAAATTTAATTTAAAATCACCTGAAATTCAACATCTCGATTTTTAATATTTATATTAATTTAAATTATTAATTTTTATTATTTTTAATTAGTTTCCAATGCTAATAAATATCTTAATATAAATTAAATTGCTCCACCTTTATGTATATTCGTTTAAAGAGTACATATTTTATTCTCAATTTAATTTAATTATATATATAAGTTTTGATTTATTTTTCATATATGATAAATAGCACTAATTTGGGTGAATGTATTGCATTATCGTTAAAACAGTAGAATACATATTGAGTTTTTAATTATGGTAAAGTTAAATTTTATATATTACATTTAAAAATGTAAAGTTTATAATATATCATGTGTGATATTTTGTTAAATCAAATGACGATCTTAAATATCTTAAAAATTTTAAATTTTAATGATAAGAAACAAAATATGTTTTTAAAGTAAAATTATTTTTACAAAATACACATTAGATGAAACATAAGACAATTCTTTAGACAAATTTTCATAAGCATTCGGTCTTACTTCTTAAAGTTTTAAATACATATTATTTATTATAAGTAATGACTATTTAGTGCATGACAAATCAATTCCTTAATAAATTGAACAAAGAAAGCTTGTTGAAACTCACAAATCTGTTAAAGAGAATAAAGTCATATTCTGCACAAGAAACAATGATAGGCGGATCCCTTAAATTATAGAAAAAGTCAATAAAAATTTATGTAGAACCTGCTCTTTGTTGACACACCACAGAAAGTTCTTTTTGTTTCTAAAATTGAAAGTAACCTCCTTGATCAGATAAGAAATGACAATTTAGTGAAAAACAATTAATGCAAGTATTTAATGTTTCAACAAACACTTCTCATCTCAAGGGACTCAGGACGAAGACGGACATACGAAACAAGTTTTTGAGGAATCATCAAAGTGTTGCAGCGGTCATCTTTATCCAAACTATTATATAAAGAACCTCAAGAACAAAAAGAATGATGATGGACTAACTACGAAAAGGGAATATCATACAAATATTTATTCATTCTTTCTATAAAGACATTTTGTGATTAATTGATTATATCACACACTACAAGAAAAATGTTGATTTTTGATGGAAATTTCTGAAGGAAACAGATAGGGATGGCAAATAAACCCGTACCCGTGGGTAATACCCGAACTCGTCCCGACTTTGACGGGGAATACCCGCTTTGACCGGGTACGGGTACGGGTACGAGTATATACTTACTCGCCCCGTCCCCGTCCCCGTCCTTGTCCCCATCCCCGTCCTGGTTAAATACCCATCCCCGGTTTAATTATTCTTAAAAAATTAACATTTCAAAAATAATTTTCTAAAATCTAAAGGGCCACGTTGAGCAACGCAAACACTTAGGGTTTCAATTTTCAAATCCCATTCACACTCCAGCCTCCGACGACCAAGCACTCTAGCACCGCACCAGCCACAGAGCCACTGCACCAGCCACTCTAGCCTCCACTTTCTCCCTCCGAGCGGCTCCCTCACCACGACTGGTACGTCTCTCTCTCGCTCAATCTTCTTTCTTTCTTCCCTCGCAGTCCACTCGCTATGCTTCGCTGGTCCGCACGCCGTCGCTGTCGGCGAGGCTGGTATCCGTCGAGGTTGCGCCGTCGATTTACAGTGCTGATATGATACGCCTTCCCAATTCCGGGACTGAAGTGGATATTTTCTCTTTGTTTGTAGTTTCAGTTAGGATTCATGGGGTGGTGTTTGTTTTCAGTTTTTCATGTTTCTGATTAGCTTCTGGGTTATTTGCAGACAAAGGCAGACAGCTCTGCATCATAAAAAATTGGGTATTTTTTTCTGTTTGCTGTTTATTGCTCTTCACAACACCATACACGGTGTGTGATGAAACTATGTTGATGTGTTTACAATTTTTGCTGGTAAATTGGCCTATTTATTTAATTTATCTATGGCCAGTTTCTCTGTTCTAGTTTTCTTGATGCGTTTACTTGCGCGTGTCATTTTTTTATGGTTTTGGATATGTACACTTGTCATATGCCTGACCTCCACCTAATAACTTAAGCTTCTATGATAATTAGTATTTGACAATAATCAAAGTAGTAAGGCACGTAAAGGTGCTATATCTCCCAAGTAATAGCCTTTGTGGTGAGAGGTACTTCTCACAGCTGCTTGTCATTTCCAGCCATCTTTAAAAAGATAATAAGAGTTGATTCAGTGAAGTTATTTATTTTGATTAAATTCAAAACAGGGAGAAACCAAGAGTGGAAATTCCCCTTTAATAAACCAGCAGAGTAGAGTAGCCTTGGTAGTTCTGAGATTGCTACTCACTGAGAGACTTTTTGCGATGAGAATTCAAGAGTGGAAGTTCCTCTTTTATGAGCTAACTCATGAAGGCCCTTGCCTAGGCCAAAAAAGCTGAGCTTAAAAGGGTCATTGCCTGAATGACCAAGAGGGAGCCTTTGGCAGTTTGATATCATTGGTGTTGCCTTAGCACTAGCTTTGCCCTGGTGCTAATGCTATCACAATTATGCCATAGTCTAATTAATTATTTTGACTAAGATACACATGAAATCCTTAAAGCAGTTTTGAGTTTTGACTTAGTTTTCACTTTCAAAATGATTTTGTCTTGTTCTGGGGCTTGAGCCTCTTTATTTTACACCAAATAAAATGTTTATTGATAATATTTTAATATTGATACATATGATTTTATTTATAGGCCTATTTGGTTTTACTGTTTTACAGTGCTGGCTTATTTTTCCCACTCTCAGTACCTCTTTTATATATTTATTTTCCCTTTTGTTAAGTCACACTTCATAAGTGATTTCTTGTCTTCTTTTTTATTTTTTATTTTTACTTTATTGAGTTTGCTTTACCCACATTGG